AAGAGAAGAGAAGAGAAGAGAAGAGAAGAGAAGAGAAGAGAAGAGAAGAGAAGAGAAGAGAAGAGAAGAGAAGAGAAGAGAAGAGAAGAGAATGGATGATGAACTAGTTGATGACAAGCAAACTGATGAAAAGACTACAATACTGTGGAATATTAAAAAGCTTTAGGAAAACAGTGCAAACCAAATGATGGAATATGACAAGGATGAAAGAAACTCAACATATTCTGACACAAAATGCCAGTTAGACGGCAAACAAAGCAGGGATATAAAGCCAGGAGGGATACATTTTGTATGTGATGCAAGTAACAAAAATAAATAAATAAAAAAGCCCATTCACAGCTGCCTGGAGCCGAAGCAGCGTCAGCACATACCTGACATTTCAGAGCAGAATCACTTCAACACACAAAGTTCAAGCAAAGCAGCAAGTTGACATTTACACACAGACAGCTCCAAAGATGTGAAGAAAACAAGGGGAATGAGTGATGAAAACATGGAGATGGATGTATAGAGAGGTGCCCCATTTCCAGGGAGACCAGGGAAAGGGTGTGAAAGGTTGGGAAATAAACACAGGAATGTTCCTCCATAACATGAAAATTCATAAAATCAACTCTCTTGTGTAACAGGTAAATATCTATGCAGCATGCAAAATACTGTGTAAACTGCACAAGAATTCACATTGCAGATGAGAATGAATATGCTTTAAAATGTGTGGTTATTAAAGCAAATTACATTAGCAAACATATCAAAGCCAATTAACTATAAATATTCCTGAGGGTTTTAACAGATGATCAATTAACTACCAACACTAAACATCTTTCAACAGTTTAGCAGGCTTTAAGAGTGTGACTATATGGAGCAGCTGTAGCAGTGGTACTCTACAGGGGGCAAAAGACAGGAAGGGAAAACTCCGACAATACCTTCATCCCTGGAATAATCTTCACCAGAATGAGGTTCAAACAGATAGTCACCAGTGGCAAGCTCAAAGGCCTAAGATAAGAAAGAGAATCACCATCATTACTGGAAAAGATGCTGAATACAGGAAACATCTACGTGCACTGATACTGATCATTTTAATGATGAATTTTCAAATGCTTCATATTCTTTTAATTTATTTCCCAGCAATTAAAACAGTAGAAATATTCTTGCCATTTGTACAAAAGCACCAAAACAAATCTTTAAAAAAATCCTAGTGGTTAAAATGTATCAGAGTTAATGTAAACCATGCAATTAGCAGCTAAAATACCAAAGGGTCAAAGCTCAGGCTAGCTTTATTAAAATATTACATTTTCCTCCAACAGAGAACCTCATCTTAGCTGCAAAGGCCAACAAGGAAGATGCAAATGTTATCCTGTTCGAAGTTTGAACTTCCACCCTTCCTTATGACTCACTTTATTAAGCTAAATACAACTTTTAGAAGTGAAAAAAGATGTTACCTAACAGGAACTGTGAAGTATAAAACATATTTGATGGTAAATATCAATATTCTTTATCTATTTACAGGAGCTCTTTAAAAACATATGTCCAACTTTAATATGGTTGTGAGAGGTCTTGTTAATGCATCCCAACAATCCTCCCACATCCAATGTAAGAGTGCTTTCTTGCTTTTGCCATCAGGAGGTCTTGACAGTGTGAATGAACATTTTATGGAATCTCAGTTTTTTTGCCAAGTTTGGCATTTAAAGGCTGTGGTCTTAAACCTTGGTTCTGCTGATGAACAGTTTGTTAAATTGTTGGTTTTAATACATTTCCAGCTCAAAAGTTATTGTCTATTTCCCCTCGTTCCAATTTTAGCATTGTGAACTCATCTTAGAACCATAAGATCCAATAGTGTAAACTACATTAAAGCTTCAAATGTTCTAATTTATCATCTAAGTAAAGAGAAAAGTTTAACCAGATTTCAGGAATGTGTTCAAGTAATTGCTGAGGCCTCTCACCATGCAGGCTGTGCTCCATATATCAGCTGGTGTACTGTATCCTGCACCAATGAGCACCTCTAACGACCGGTACTGTCGGGTCTGGATGTCCTCTGTGAAGTGCTTATGCTGGGTGGAAAAAAAAACAGATAAAACATGCCTGCCATGTCACAAAAAGAGATTAAAGAGTTTTTCTAATATTAAAAAGAGAAAAATCTCTTTCAATGTCTTTACTACCATTTAAAATTCTATAAACAAAGTGCATTATAAAGTTATTATTAATCACTACTTTATCCTATGATAAAAGGCAATCTAGAACAACAAATTGTTTTTATATAGATATAGATGACTTTAAATGACTTTGAATGTTCTACCAGCAATATTTCTCTAGTATGCAAAGATCCCTATGATCATTAGCTACATACCACCCAGCAAGCGTTCCCCAGGTCAGCAATCTTGACCTTGATCTTCTCTGCGTTGCCCGGCTCAAGAGGGTTAACCAACAAGGAGCCTGCTGTCAACTTGTCTGCATTGGAGCAGAAAGGGAAACACAAAAGCATAAAAACATTTTTTTAATGAAAACTCCAAAGGTCAGAGAAGTCGACAGAGACCATGCAGATAAACCAATTTGTTACGGACCGTTTCTCAAGCCGTCCTGGATTCTGTAATGATACTCTGTCTCATCCTCCTCATCTTCGTCTTGCAAAATGCTTGGTTCCAGTTCTCCTTCCTCCATCCCTGCAGGAGGGTGTCGCTGAGTTACTCCTCTGCTGTATTCCCCCCTGCTGTCAATCTCGCAGTACAGCTCATTGAAAGCTGTGGACTCCACTCCGTTGCACAGTGGGTGGACTTCATGTTGCTCCTCTGGAAACTCTGCATTCCCATTGTGTTGGTCTTCATTTGTACAGTTGGACTGCCTCTCCTCCACCTCCGAATGGCCGTTACAATTGGCCTCTGACACCTCATCTGGCCCCTCTCTCTGGTTATTTGAGGTTACACTTTGCTCTGATGGTTTATCAAAGAGATAATTACTCCAAAATTATTTCTAAGGAATGAATTGTGAACCCATAAAGCCTGTTAGGGCATCACATATCTACTTATGATTATGTGTTCTCTATATACGATATTATATATATTTTTGCTCTATGAGTAATGTCGTCTTCTTACCTGCTAGTTCATCATTTCTGAATTCCTGAAGAGACACGTGTCTTAGAGGCGCACAGGCTCGTCCCTTTGGAGATTGTGGGTCCTTATCTTCCTCGTCGTCCTCTCGTGTCTCTGTGGTCTTCTCCATCTCCTCCAGGTCCATTATGCACTTTTCTAGCAGCTCTGCCTGACGCTTCTGTTTCTTTTTTAACTTTTTCTTTTTGTTCTTGGACATTTTCACAGTCTAACAGAAATGCGGAATGAAAACAACACACCAAAAATTGCATATTTGACTTAGAAGTAAATGGGGAGTTACTGCTCAGAATGATAAACGATGTGTACCTGTTTAGGGGCTGGTGCTGTGCTTACTGTAAAGAAAACATTGAATGAGAACAAATTTTAAACCATTTCTGCCTCAACAGTGTGTGTCTGTGTGATTTTATGTGTATCAGTCATACTTGCGGAGCCAGAGGGAGGAGGAGCCCCGGCCCTCTGCCATTCTGTAGCTTCAGCTGCAAGCTTTCGGACGTAGGGCTCATCAACGCTCATCAGGATATTCTCTGGCTTAATATCCGTGTGAATTATCTGACACTTTGTGTGCAGGTAATCAAGACCTTGAAGAACCTAGAAAAAAAAGAAGGAAATATTTGATCAGCTGCAAAAGTTATTTAAGAATAAGCTACTTTTTTTAACATTAATTCATTGTCATCAGTTCCAAAAGGGCAATATTTCTAAGACGGTCAGAATCAGGTTATTCCACTGCATTTATGAAACCATTTCTACCACTTTACACAGACAGAGAAGCTAAAATGTGTCAAATTGGAGGAGAGTGTGGTGGTTAGTTTGGTTAGAGCATGGCGCTTGGAATCCAGAGGTTCTGAGTTCAAGCCCCACTCCCACAGAGTGCCACTCTGTGTTACCTAGCAACAGTGAGAACATGAAACAAAGTAGCAATAAGGCAAAATATACCAAACATTAACAGATCTAACCAGCTGAATTACATCTCTGTTCAACTTTCACTCATTGATGAAAGCCAGAGCAAGTTTGAAAATAATGTGTTGGGAATCAGAGTTTCAACCACTGGGGAGCTGGCTGTGAGCAAAACAAGCATCCCTAAAAAGTTCAGAAACCTTTGCAATGAAGTTATATCTTTAACCTGAAATTGTAAGAGTTAATTGTATGTCTCAGTGATCAATACATCAAAATGAAAATTGCCAGTTCCTTCTGCATCTGCACTTTAAGTTTAACAATCTGCTGTGAATCTTAATCTTTTGACAAACTGAAAAGCTGAACCTCCAGACCAGGACTTATTATCCATTATAGTATAGCCCTGGGAGACTGTAGTTTTTAAGGTAACATTATGCTTAGGGATGCACCAAAAAATAGGCTATCGAAAATTTTCGGCTGAAAATGACAGAAAGTGCATTTTAAGCTTACAGCTGATAGACCCATCCTTAAAATAAAGAAGGACCAATTTGTATAACGCAAGGAGTCTTGGAATCTGACTAGATCTTGGCGCTGTGCTATGATGTAATCGGCCTTCGAATCTGTCCTTCAGAGAACCAGAATCAGCCATATTGTAAAAAGGTCTAAGCTTTCTTTGTGATGGAGCGCACCGATTTGTGTTAGCAACATGCTAGTGATTTTAAATCAATTGAATAAAGGGTTTGAATCCATTAGTGGACAAATGGTGGTACATTTCTCAAGTGGTGGGTAAATTTGATTAAATCCACACTTCATAGTGACAAGTTTTCCTTTTTAAATAGTGAAACAGCTTTCAGTTTCGACAACTGATTTATATGGGGGAAGCAACACCATTTAGCCGGCAATACGCCACTAAAAACCATTAGAAAAGGGAATAAATACTAATGTGGTTTAACAGTCCTGGAGTAAAGCAGTCAATTAAACCACTGACTTAATTCAGAGTCAAAAGTCAAGAGATTAAGCATTTTATGAAGGAAAAGATCAGCTGCTGTTTAAAATTGCAGTCCTAGAGAATATTATGGCAACAAATTAGTTAACAGCTAAATCAGCAGTTTGGGTGTAGACAATTGACTTTAACCCTTCTGGATCATTTAGTATTGACATTTTTCTAAAACTTTGTGTTTGTTTGCACCATGTTGTATGTTTATTAATTGAATTTTCATAAGCAAGTCAATAATTGGCATTCTCTGTCACTTTTGGCAGTTTTTAAATCACATCAACTAAAACTCAAAGGATTTTTGTATCAACTATAGCCTGGCTTTTTTTATGCTTTTTGTAATCAGTTTTTTTTTTTTTTTTTTTTTTTTTTTTATAAATTCCTGATAAATGTTATACTTTAATATTAACCACAATGTAAAAAGTGTTTTATGTCAATGTAATTTATCAATTGGATATTTTGGGCAGGGAATGCTTGGGAGGATTGCAAAAAAAAAATAAAGTCAGAGCCCAAGTAATGTTCTTGTGAAATGTGAAATTTGTAAGCTGGAATAATTCCCATGAAAAAATAGAAAACACATTAAAGGGATTGTGAACAAACTTTCTGGTTTTTCACTTTTTTGGAGCTGCAGTGTTTAAACTCTGACCTGCTTCCTACAAACTATGCAGCAGTAAGGCAATAAATAAGATGGATGAAAAGGCCTCACCAGTGACACTGTTTAGCCTCACAGCACACTGGGAATATTCCTAATATTGACCTGCTTTGATGCAGCTCCGGCAGCTTTCTAGATCTCATTCTGCAGAGCAGAATGTAAACAGATGCCACTTGGTTTTTAAGCGATAATGGAAAAACAACAAGCGAGGACAGGGGGATTAATATACATGGTTACTCTGTGCCAAAGCTGCAGTTGGCCATGAACAGACTGCTCCAACATCACAGCGCCACATGGAGAGCAGCTAAGCTTCATTCTAAGCACCTCATATTTTAATGAAGCTAATGAGGTGTCAATCATATAAAGGGCACAGACTACAACCTAATGCATGTAATGCATACATGCATCTAATACATGCTAAAAATCTAGACTCAACCAACAAAAAAATGAATTTAAAAAAGTTTTAAAATTATAATTTTACAGCTTAAATCAAGCCTGCTTCCATTAAATAGAAATATAATCTAAGATCATATTTTGTAATTATAAATATCAGCTGAATAAGTAAATGGTAACATAATAGCAAAGATTTCCTCCTCCACTTCTTTCTTTGACGTAATGCATAACAGAAGTCTTTTATTGTTTTATATACACTTAGTTACCACAACAACTTCTAGCCTGACAAGTTTTCAACCTTCAGTTAGCCTGTGGCTACAATACTAAGGCTTTGTGGTGACTCATCGGGTTTAAAAAGGTGAGACTGAGGCTCTCATGTTACCTGTCTGATGATGCTCTTTACACACGGCAGGGGCAGCCCTTGGTAATTTGACTTTATGATCCATTTTAACAAGTGATGCCCCAACACCTCAAATACCATGCAGACATCTGGAGAACAGCAGTTAAGAAATAAACTCTGATTAAGAAAAAATGGAAAAAATAAAGTGTTTAGGGAGCTTGTGAGAGCGTAGGGTATTGGATAAACAGGTAAAAAGGGGATCTCAGATTACAGCTGCAGCAATCCCTGTGCAGCATTCAGGGGATCTATTTAAGCCTGACTGCTATGACGCATGGAGGTCCCTTGGGTTAAAACGCAGCTCTGTTTGTTACACCAAGAAATCAAACTGTTTATTCCTTGCAATATATTTCTAGGGAAGTACATTTTTATCTTTAATGAACACAGGGCTTTCACTGCTCACAATGTGGGAATAAGAAAAACCAGGGTGTGATATTCTGCTGTGAAGGATACGTGTCCCATTAACACCAGAGATCTTGAAGTCATCTAGCAGCTGGACCACCATCTCACGCTTTGGGTCATCAGGGTCTGAGTTTCTCACCTGAAGAGGAGGAAACATTAAGTCAATAAAAATCATGACATTCATGATTCACATTTACACATATTAAACTTTTGGAGCTACAGAGAGCCATTTGCAAAAAAAACAGGAGAGAGAGAAACTGATTCCTCTCCAGAGCTGCAGGTCCAAGTGTTAGGGGAGCTAAATCTGCCCCCTACATCTATGGGCAATAATTTTTTTAGTTTCTTTTGTTAAAAAGCTGTTTGCAAAGAAACACAGCTTTATTCTTAAGTTACATAAAATGTTTTCCTATTATTACTTTCCTCCAGTCACCCAGCGCAGTGCTGGGGAAGTGCTTCCACCTGTCATTCCTTCATAATGGTTATGCTGCACATGCAGCTTCTTTAAAGTTTATTAAGCTGCTCTACATAATGCTCGCTGTACTGCAGGTAGAGACAGGAAAATACAGAACATAAATGTTCCCCTCCATCCTGGCTCAGGCAGCGGCTCCATCACTTTAACAAAAGGTAAGGCGGCTCTCACCAGAGGAACGAGCCTTAAGCCACAGGAACAACCTTTAATCGCTCTAACCTGCATAAAGTCCACTGATGATGCAAAAATACTGTTGTTGTCCATCTTTGCTGGATGATGAAAAGACCGCACCAGCAGGTATTGTTAAGAGGTTGAGATGATCTAAATTTTCTAAGATGTTTCGAATTTGACTGATGTGACCAGGCGCGTCCACGGCTGCAGACTGTTGCTGCTGCAACTATTTTTAAAATTGTTCTTACTTCCAGAAAAGGTTACTTAAAAATGTTACATTTTAGTTATGACCTCATTCAAAGATTGATCAATTGCAAAGTAGATTTTATTTTGTTGCATTATTTAAAAAGCATAATTTCTCAGCTTCATACAGTTTTCATAACAAGGTGAATCCTGGAAAAGTATAAAAATATGAAACAAATCATTTGTTTTAACTTCAGTATAAACAAAAATCATAAATTGATCTACATTATATTGCAATTCGACCCATCGCACACATCGAAATAATGCTGAAGCATACACTGTGTTCAGATGTGCAGTCTTTTTGATTAATTATTCAATGTATTTATTAATACCAAACATCATATTTTATAACTGAACCCCCGTTGTATTTCAAGTTCTAATGACCGGAAAGTTACCAATTCTTTCCTATTTTAGACCATATAAAGTAACAGTGCATATTTACTTTGACTAGAAACGAGGTACCTTGATTGTGGAAGAACTGAGTAACTAACTTGGTTAATTTCCTGCAGAAGCAACTAGTAACAGAGTCTTGCATGGGTCTGATTTTTCAAAACTGTACACGCACTCACGCGTAGAATTCAGAACCAAGACCCGACCCGTTACCTGCAATTATCCCGATTTAAAACCCGTCCGGCACCGAAGAGACCCTTACATAATAAGGTGCTACCAGACCCGTGATCACAAAGTGTACAAACAGCCGTATATAATAGAGGCAGAAAAGAACATTGCCACATGCTCACATCCAGTGTGCGCTGCGTTCACAGATTAACAGCTGCAAATTGGCAGTAAGAAGGAAGTAAGGATTGCCTCATTGCTTTAAAAAAATTACTTTTACAGTGAACCCTCGCAATAACGCGGTTCCCTTTTCACTGTCTCGCTGCTTCACGAATTTGCATCATGCATTGTGTTCTGCATTCTGATTGGCTAAACAGTCTCTTCGCGTTATTTAAAAAAAAAAAAAAAAAACCAACAACAACAAACGTTTATACAGTTCTTTTATTTGTTAAACAAATGCTTGGGTCTGTAAAAAGTTTTTGTTCCTTGATTTTATTGTTTTATGGAGTATTTCAACAACTGTAAACAACTGTAAAAAAAAATAAAGGTTTCTACTTCACAGATTTCGCCTATCGCGGGTTCTTTTTGGAACGTAACCCCCGCGATAAACGAGGGTTCACTGTATCTGGATATTCTTGAATACTTTTTTTTTTTAAGATTTAGAATTAATATAAAGAAAATAGAAATAAGTTTCATTTACGCTGTAAGTATGATACCTGCAATTCGTTTATATACATCTGTGCCCGTAACCGTGAAATAATCTGCGTTTTTTTTCTACCCGTAGATGTACGTTATATATGGGTACCCGATGGAGGACAAGTAACCAAGTTTTTTTTTCCTAAACTAACATTCCCAACACTGCTTAACAATAACATTTTTTTTTTCCATTATTTGATGCCTTATGACTTTTTAAAAAATGTAGATGGAAAATTTAATATTCTTTAAGACTTTTCAATGATATCATCTGGGACCGTTTGGAAAGATTTTGAGCACTGGTGTATGTAGCTAAATCTGTACAAATGTATAATCTATTCCTTTATATTATAGTAATGAAACTATATGTAAGGTTACACAGAATGTGCTTAGAACTGTGCTTTCAGCATAAAGCTGATGACAGATCTAAAATGGGGAAAAAGAAAACAAGCTGGAAGTGAAACCAAGGTTTAAGGAACCATTCAAATTCAGAAGTTTGAAAGGTACAGAGGGAAAGCACAAATGATGATGAGTTATGAGCTTCTAACAGGTTAACGTAAAACACATGTATTAATCAAAACCCCATGAGTGGAGGTATTTCCAGGAAACACTTTAACCATACTGCTTCCTAGTAAGATAACAGAAAAATTCAAACAAATCAGTCAAAACAACTCAAAGTGAACTGAGGAAATCCAGAGCTCGTTCATCAACAGAGATCATACTTCCTGGTGACACACACACACCTCTTTACAGTGGTGTGTAAATCTCCAACAATCATACAGTTCAGAGAAGACTTTTTCCATTTGCTAGAGATGTTTTAGTGTTTTAGCCACAACAAAACCTGAACTAATACCAAGGACCAAGTCAAGATTGGCTGAAACTGGTAAGTGTCATTATCCACAGTGAAATCAGCCCTTAACCACCATGAACTTAAAGGCTATTTGAAAAAGAGATTACTTCAAAACAAAATAACAGGTTCTGCAGAAGTTATTGATCTTAAGAGGAACAACTTAACTAACTTTTCAGCTTCACTGGAATCCAACCTATGATACATTGTTTCCTAAACAGGAAGAACTCAATTCAAAATCTGTACATATTTTTCCTGACCTCTGTTTATACATAAACAAATGGAAGCTTCTGGTTTTCACACTATAATTGAAAAATCCTGCTGGAAAACTATTGCTTTCCTTTTATTCATGTTCTAATTAGTACAACTTACAGACTTAAGAAGTTTGATCTCATCCACAGCCGTCTCGGTGTAGTGCTCAGCGCTCTTCACCACTTTCATAGCAACAAACCTTTTAACCCTGCAACAACAAAAAGAAATTGATGGGTGCCAAAAAAAAGTAAGACAAAAACACAAATAAAAAGATATGGAATAGAAAAAGCAGAGTCTAAACAAACTGAGTATGGTCAATGTTTTGTTTTCTTACTGGATGTCCCAGGCGAGCCAAACTGTCGAAAAATGTCCCCATCCTAATTTGCGGATTACGTGATATTTCCCATTATAAAGGTCTCCTACTTTAACATGATGGTAGCCACCTAAGAAAAGAAGAAAACACATTTAGTTGAACAGCAGAAAGAGAAAGGAGGCAAAAATCTAAACAGTGTAGTGACGTGTTAAAAATTTAAAACAGCTTGGTTAATGTAAGAGTCATTGGAGCTTCTCCAAAACCCAGCTTGGATGGATTAATTAGCCACCAATAGGGCTTTGTGGAGGTTTGTTAACTGGACAAATTAAAGATTGATTTTATAACAGCTAAATTACAGCAGCATATGTGATTAAGGGCCCCATGAGTCACCTTTGCAGTAGTCATTGGGGTCCTCCTGCTCCTCATCATCTGAGCCCAGAATCTCCTCGGGTTCCTCGGGCTCCTGAGGTGAGGTTTCTTGTTGTGGTGGCTGCCGAGATCGAACATTTGGTGGTTGCCTAAAGGATGAGGGAAAAATAAATAAATACTTTAAGGACAACGCTCTTCAACAGCTTCTGTTTTACACTCAATACTTTTCTCATTTTTAATAAGTTTTTTAATTCCTATAAAATACCAGTCATAACTTCAGAAAATGTATGCATTTACTGTATACTGGCAATCAAATGTATTAATAATTCACCACAATCCAACTCACCAGCATACTATTTTGTTGTCTTAAAAGCAATACAGTGGTTTTAAAACTCTAGGAGAATATAATGTCAAATGATTGTCAATATGATAAAAATAACTTAATCATGTTTTCCATAACCAAATAGCCCTAACACATAAATATCATAAAACAGCGTGATGATCAACTGTCAAATATAAAAAAAAAATTGTAATTAAATAATAAAATAGGAGAAACAAAGAGCATATTCAAAGCTAAACAGTCACAATTTGTTTTGTAGGCAAAATTCACTAAATACCTAAAATTAAATTTGAAAGCACCTGAAAACAAGCACTGGGGTTTTTGTTCTGATGTTCTGTGATCAAAGAGGTGTTTAAAAGCCAGCTACACTGGCCAGAAACCAGCCCTCTGAACCTTTGAATTATGTTAAATGTAATATTACATGAATATTACAAAGCAGAAAGAGTATACTGTAGTGCTGACTTGGTTTATCTCTTAAGCAAGAAAAATAAACAGTGATCATGTCATTGTGTGTAATGTTCCAAAGGTTTTCACTTTGCTTTTTATCCTAGTCCATGAAAATTTTAAATAAACTGTAGTTTGTAGAAGACAACTATCAATATCATAATAAGATCTGGAATGGCTAAATCATCTGATATTTATAAAGACCCAAAATATCTGTTTCTCTTATATTAAGGAAAAAATGTTTGTAGACCTACAGTGAAATTATATATTAAATATATTTATTAAATCAAAATGAAGATTAGGAAAATGTTTCATAAAAATCTATAAAAGAATGGAGTAGAACAGGCGTTGATAAAGCAAAACAAACTGATGCAGTGGATCATCAGTTATCTTTAACACCAGGTTTAACTAAACCACGAATAATATTTGTAAACCAAGACTTCTGTTTCATTCCAAATTAAGGTAAAGAAGAAAAAAAAGAAGCCTAGACCAAAGACAGCTCAACAAGCTTGAATGCACTAAAAGGCATTGACACGCTGCAACATGTAGGTGTGCATCAGCTGCAGAGGTTTTCACAGAAACATTTCTGAGTTCTTTAGTGCTTATTTTTTGTTAAAGCTCAATACAGAAAAGAGAAAAAGATTTTACTGACTGGAATGAAAGAAAGGTGCACATGCATCACAAGTGAAACCATGTAAAGGTCTTAGGTTAGATATTCAAAATTTGTAGGTGTTATTGACTTGGGTTGCTCGAAGTTCTTCACAGCTTTATCTCTGAACTGTCTGTTTTCGTTCCTCTTTTCTTTCAGGGTTCATAAACAAACCTCTGATGTGATTTAGGATTTATTTGATAATTAGGTTTCCTTTGAAACAAGTTGATACAAACTATTTTGAGCCAGACTAAATTAGGGATAAAGTAAATATCTATTTTTCATTTTTATAAATAAGACATTTGGAGACTTATTTTTTACTATTCTAAATTTAAGCACTACTTTATTTTTCTCTAAAATAAATGTGTAACTTTTATAAGGTCCTTTACATCTGCTTCAGTTCTATGAAATAAAATAAATAAAATTAATTTAGCAGTGCTCCAATATCTGAGAGTTAACATTAAAAATGCACACTCCTTGTTCTTAAATCAGGAGTCTGAAAACATGTGCAGTCATGTTTGACAGCATCAGAACAGTGAAAGGCAGCAGAAAGAGTAGCAGCAACAGCATTAAAAACACAAAAAGGTACAAGTGTTATATGTGTGAAAACACTGTCAAAGACACAATATGCAAGATTCCCCAAAGCAAATCTATTTTTAAACATGAATATAAACACAAATTATATACGGGCAACTAATACAGAACATGTTTGAAGAACATTTTATTCACATCTAAACGCATATTTATAAGGGTTAAGAGCAGATTAAGGCACTGAAAATATAAAAACAAGCACATTTTTATTGTCTTGCAATATAAACGAATTGTAATTTATTTGTATATAAACTGTCATACTGTTTTTTTTTTTAAGTTGACTTTTTAAATAAGTAAACTTTACCATAACAGCTGAACAGCTATGATAGTTAGGCTTAGCTTTAGTTAAAGCTACAGTGTGTAACTTTTAGCGACATCTAGCGGTCAGACTGCAGAAACATGAACATCTCCCCTCCACCGCTTCTCCCCCCCACCGCTTCTCCCCCCCAACAGTACGGCGAGCGTTACGGGACAAAATGTCTTCCACGACGTCCGCATCACCTACCTTCTCAAGTGATGAGGTTTGTTTACATAGATAATTTTATAGATAGTATTTCATTAGTCTGTGTAGGGTATAGATTTCATGTAGACTTAAGATAATAAATATACCCGTGATTTTTTTCTACATCGTTGTGACGTTTTGGCGATCTCGCAATCGCTAGTTTGTTGGCGCTGCGCTGCCGTAGCGCAAAGATGTCTGCCTCCATGGCTGCAAGACCTATGTAATTATAAATAATGAATTCTAAGGGAACGCAAATATTAAGGTTAAGAGGCTGAGCTCGTAGATGATGATAAATAACATAGTTATGTATAATATATTACATTTCTGACTGTATATCCCTGTAATTATTACACACTGTAGCTTTAAGCTTTAGTAAAATGAAAACAGAATCCATGACTGTGGACAAGTACATCAGTGTAGGTGGTATTAAAGGTCCCATATTATGCAAAATTCCCTTTATAAACATTCATGTGTGTCCTGAAGCCTGCGTATGAGGTTCACAAATAAAAAACAAAATAATTTCACCTCTATCTTTGCCTTTCTCAACCACTTAGCTAATGTGTGATCAAAATGGTCCATATGAAAAGCATGCCCTTCATGATGTCATAAGGGGAAATGAGCTTTCACAGTGAAATCTGTGGCAGCCCATCAGTCAGGCAACAATGCATTATTTCATGATATTAGCCAGTATCTTTATGAACTCTGACTGGGTGTCATGTTTGCAGGCTGTGGAAGTACAGAGAGCCAAAATATAGGGCTGAATGTGGAGGTTCTTGGTTCATGCCTTCTGCCTAATCTAAGATAAATGTTACGACACAAAAGATACAAACATGCTCTGGAGGGCACATTGTTAATAATTTTTACTTTCAAATGTAACTTAATAATGGACCTTTAACAGTATAAAATATTAAGAAAATCACATACCATTGGGTGCTTTCCCCTTTAGTTTCCCTTCCCATCTTTTTAATCAAACCAGCTCAAAAAGAATGTTACATTGAAGCAAATGGAACGGAAGGCTTTAATCTGAAGGAAACACTGTTTATCCCGACAGATTACAGACCAAAGCTGCAGCTTAAAAGCTTTCAAGCAAGGCTCTCGATCATTTGACCTTAATGGTGAGGATAAACAGTTGGTGGTTGCAGCTAATTATGTTGTAGCAAAGCAGAGAAGTTACAAGAGGATCCTATTAGAGGCCAATGAAAATGTTATCTATGATACATTTAAGTTTATGATTTAGTGCCTTTTAAAACTTGGACTAAACATTTTGTATACCCAATTACACATCACAATTAAGCCATATAGTTACAAACCAAGCCTAGGGCTTTTCCACCAATGTGCCTCTGAGCCCATTCCAGAGCGTGTTTTCAACAGGTTGCCTGTTTCCAACAACAGAAGAAGTTCCAGAGCAGCAACTACAATGACACAGTTGACTAGCTGGTTCTTCAGAGGGAACCAATGAGTCACCAGTAGCTTCACTTGTGGGCGGTCAGCGCGCGAGAAAGACAAAGACAAAAACAAGGGAGGAAAAAAAAAATGTAGATCTGCTCTTTCAGCAGATTGAAAATGGATAGACGAAGGATCAGATCAATAACAGAAGCTGAAGAAGAGGAATGGAGGATATCTGTAATTGCATGTTGTAGTCTTGGTATTACAATCTGTTATTTGTACATTGATGGTTCAGACTGGAATGGTGATCATTATAATGTCTAGCTTGTTCTTTGAGAGTTTCATTGTTTTTATGAACAGGCTTAAATGCATAAGTAGCCGAAGTTAGCGTCCGACTCTAGATTTCAATATTCCCAACAACGTGGCAATGAAAACTCCTCCGTTCATTGTTTTAACAACTTATATCAGCTGTGCACCACATCTAATAATTCTTCAGCTATTTTAAGGCTACTACCAGAAAGTTACCACTATTAAAAAGTAGTAGATAAAAATTTAAACTCAATTTCTGATAGGAAGCACCAACTTAAGGCAAACCCTTGTTTTTTCATGTAAACCATGTGTAGCACCACAACTAGAACCCAAAAGGTATTGTTTTCTCTTTCATTGGACAATAGCGGACAATTAACGGGTCATTCTTGTCAGAAGAGAGATGTTTGGAATGTGGAGAGCACCTTCTTAAGTTCATACGCGGAAAATGTAGGGGAGAACAGATGTAAATAGAGCAAATTAGTAGACAGGTCATCCTAACTTAACATTATACAGCACTAAAAATATATTTTATCTTGTAGAAAACTAAATAATGACAATGTCCAGAGTTGCAGTGGTCAACTTCAGAAAGGAAGACCAAAAGGATGAGGCTGTGGTTGAGAGGAAGATGCATTCTCCATATGTTTATGTACTCAAACATGAGAGTAAATCTGTAAAAAGTGCACCGTAAAAAGTGATTTTGAGCACATCTATAAATAAAATCAATGTTTCTATAACTGCATGGTTCAGAAAATGCATGGGGTGTAATATATCAGAGATAAAGGAAATGAAAGGCAGACATCACCCTTTCACAGGCTCTCTATTACTGAAGGGTTTTTTCCCCTGATACATGTGATAAGGTTGGGTTTTTATTCTGAAATATTATACGGGTTAAAAGCCTAGCTTTACTTCCAGGTTCTGTACCATCCACTGCTAATGAAGGAGGACTCGGTTCTACAACCGGTAGAAAAGATATTCAGGGCTCAGACTCAAAACTGGTTCAAGAACAAGGGCTCTGCTAATGGAAAAGTGGCAGCAGACATTTCTGGTTTTCAGACCGACATTCTTTCATAAAAAAAATTGTACAAGCTCATTTTGTGTGACAGAAAGTGGAATATATCAAACCTAAAATCATATTTTTCTTTAGACATCTAAGCTGGCCATCACAAGTTTCAGAAAATAACTAAACCTTTATTATAAATTGATACTATTGATCATGTAAAATTACAATTCTTTTCTCTTATATCAGGACTCTGACATTGATAATTAAGATCTTATTTCTCTCTGTTACTTAAAATTAACTTGAGTTTTCAGCAGTCATGTGCTTTCTTCTACAATATCCCCTAATATTCTGTCGTACAAATGGATCTAGGCCACTATGAGAAAACGAAACTATCTTTTTACAAAACATGAACAAAACATTGTTAAAAAAAGTTAGAGTTCTGAGAGAAAAAGAAGTCTAAATTGTGTACCTGTGCATCCCCATGGGGAGCAGTTGGCTGCCATTGTCTGGCGCCCAGGGAGCATTCAGGAATTAAGGGTCTTTGCTCAGAGACCAAGAGTGGCAGTCTGTGGGAGTGGGTTTCTAACTCACAACCTCAAGATTCCAAGCTCTAAGCCCTAACCACTAGGCCACCACTCCCCCAAAACATACTGAACATATTTTTGATGAAAACTGTTTTGTTTTTATATTATTGATTTGCATCACTTTCTTAAACACATTATATTTAAATTAAAACATAAATTTATTCAGAACTGAAAATTCATACATTTCTCACTCTGTAAACAACCATGATTCTTATTGAAAGGATGAAATTAAAATAAGCTGTAGTTTAAGAGATATATGAATGTTAACAGTTGAAACAGACAGCTTGCTTTGACTAAACGTTACAGGAATATAATAAAATCAGTAAAAAAAAACTAAATCCACAAAAATGCATAAAAAGGGAAAGTCATATTAGTAAGATAAGTTTGTGTCAAAGGTGGTGGAGGTCTAAAAGGAGGCTCATTTGCACTGAGAGGATGAAGACATTATAGTTATCAAGTTACAAAGTTTTTAATCAAACAAATCAGCCCAACTAAACAGGAGGATAACCAACCCTGAAACACATTTATGGACATCACCGATTCTACTAAGAATAGTAGAATCTAAGAATAAGGTGGCCCATTTCAAGTAGATACAAGAAATATCAAATTATTGGTAAATAAAATCGTGCAGTGCGAGTACTGTGCTATATTGTCCGTAAATAATTTGGTGAAAACTTACAAGTATTTACAATATCAAATAATGCATTATACAGAGCGGCATATTAAATTTCATGCAACAATTGTAGATGATGTTGATAAATCCAGATTTTTGTTGATTTTTTTCAACATGACCACATCTCACAGCTGTTACAGATCAGACTACATATTATACTAGCAATGCACGATAACAATGCATGTTATGTAACATTTAGAGAACAGACAGGCCTTTGCAATATTCATACAGTTCAGATCAGTCCTTCCTATAATGACATAATTGATTTAAAGCTCAGCCCCAGCACTGATTTAAACAGCATACTAAAAAATTTACTATAGATAATATATTTAGGATCAGTCCTGTAAACATGCATGACTCCTTTATTTTGCCTGGTCTAAACTGCTGCAGACTAATGGTGTCGTGCACATGTGTGTGCTGCTTATGTCAGTGCAGTTGTGTGCAAGTAGCTTCACCCAATATGTAGTTCCAAAACAATAAGGAAAAATATCTGTTTCAGTCATGAATAAGGTGGATTAGAAAATGTGTGGAATATTTGCAAAAGAAGTTCAAGTTTGAGTGTAAGGAGAAGGAACTTCAGGTAAACGAGGGTTAAAACAGTAAGCCAATCCCCCATCGGGTTTCTGGAAGCTTCTAGCTGCACACCACAGGGTTAGACACATCTCCCAGCAGCATTTTCCACTGAATTAAATTTTTTTTTAATCTGTTCAAAGGTTTATTTTAGTAAAGCTATGTGAGCAGGGCTTATGTGACCCATAATACCATTGTTTTTTTTGCTTTTGCATTTTATAAACACATTTAACTGCATAATGTTAAAATGTATTTTTCTAAAATCTAAACAGACCAATAAATAATGCAGCTAATAATATTCTTGCCTATTTTGCATTAAATGTTCACCTTCTTTATTGTTACACAAAAAAAGGATTCAATGGAAAAATATGTTTGTCCTTTTAAGTGCACCAATTTTTCTACATCGGCACATTTTATTTCACATCACACAAAATAATCAAATATTTCTTTACACCGAAAATACAGTTTATGTCTTTGCGACATACTTTCATTTTTATTGAAAATTTAGAGAAGACAGCTCTACTGCAACAGCTTGCTAGCAGGATCCATTTGGACCCCAGTTGTCTAAAAAGTATTTTCTTGAAGAAGCGTTTTCAGTGAAACACCATGCTTCAGTGGGCTGATGTGAGCTTCTTCATTCTCTAGTTTTAAATATAGCTCAGGCTGTTACATAACACTCTGTAGGATGTCACTGGTGCTGTTAGGACTATTAGATTGTTGGATGCAACAAAACAATCGGTTAGAATTGTGAGTTTATGATGAGCAGCATGTGATTCATGGTTAAATTGCATTATATCCTGAGATTAGCCTTAGTAAGGCAGTTAGATGATTGTAAAGTCTGTGCAAAAAGCCGCACTAAACATGATTAAAATAGAAGTCATTTTCATAAACATGACGAGCAATTAAAAACTATGGAACAAGCTAAGTGAGACCTCTTAATCAGTGAATGGCTTTAGCTCTCAGTGGTGCTGATTGATTTGTACTTGCACTACTGCTGTTGCCACCCAGAAAATACTACGGTAATTTAAAAAGCTGTAGTTTAACTCTCCTAAATGATGAACATTTCAAATGTGTAGTATATTTTTTAGCCCCATTCCTGTTAACATAGCTGGAGTAAATTGTTATTTTTCACTCCAAACAAATGTAATTAACGGCAGACAACTAGAGTTATTGACTGATTAAACACTCTTACTGAGACCTCTGAAGTAAATGTATGCCATAAATCTATTTCTTAAATATACATATATATTTTCAACCATTTCTGTTTAAGGTCCAGAGATATCAAGAGGGTAAAAGGTTTTACCCTGATTAAAAAAAAATAAAAACATCTTTAGATTTTAAAATAAAAAACATTAAGACAAATGTGTTTAAGTTGCTGCTCTACAAGGTGGAAGATAATTTCTACTTCAACATGTGGCCTTTTGCCTAAATAGAAAGGACTATAGGCTGACCTTTTTTAAACAGATAAAAAACACAAAACACTACTCAAGGATAACTTGCTTAACTTGTCATGGCAATATCCCAGTAAAATGTTTGTCATGGAATATAACTTTTTAAAACCTTGCAGATTTTATTTGTATATGTAAAGAAGAAAAAAAATACAATTTTAGTTTGATTTGTTTTTTTCTTAATACAAATACTCTGATAAATTTGTTGACATAATTATTTCAATAATAGCATATTTTACCTTCTTAATTCAAAGATTGTCTAAATATACAGCTGGAATCGTCACGATTTCAAGGGGGGGGAAAAATCTCAACAGCAAATGACTTTGATAAATATTTTTAAACAGTCACATGATAAAAATATAATGATATTTAGTCAGCTTAATGAACCATCACAGTTTGTTTTAGGTCAAGAGCAGATATCAATCCTAGTGATTATGATGCTGAAACTCTGAGAAAACAGAGTCATTGAAAAGAAAGGAAATGGAAGACTGGGCAATATTTGTCTGGATTGCTCTTCATAGGAATCAATAATTCATTTCATGGCAGTTTCATATTTTCATAAAATGTGCACCACAAATAAATTATCATCAGGAGCTGTCAAATACTGTTAGTCAAGATGCAAAACGCAGAAAGCTGTGAAATCCAGCAATACATTGTTAAGAGATGAGCTAAGAAGGAGAAAGTTGCTTTAGCAAATCACCCACAGCAAAGTCAAACATGTTTAAAGTCGGAGCTGTTTAGTGACAGGAAACCGCAGAATCAGCGACCCTTTAAATAAGCTCATCTGACAAGAAACGAGCCAATATGATATTTTTTAAACAATATTAAAATATAGCACATATAACACGATTAGAAAAACTCACTTTTTGGTGGTCTTTTTTGCCTTGGCTCTCTTCTTCCTTGCCTGGAGTGCCAGAACTGAAAAGAGGAGAAAAGAAATCATGTTTCCATTGTTTGTTCTTCTTTAGACCTGCAGCTGACATTCGAGACAAAGCATGAAACAGCTTGGTTTAGACTTATTTGAATAACAGTCCATATACTGCTTATTTATACGGAGCATTTTGACAGCGTTGGAGCTAGCTGGAGCAGCAGGGCTTTATTTACAAAAAAGAATCTATGGCTGCACCCCCCAACTCAGTGTCTGTAGAAACCCCGTTAAAAAAACATCACCGGGCTAACCACCAAAGCAACCGCAGGGCAACACACTGCACTATGGCATGAAGTAATACCAGACGCCATAGCATAAATATACCACACCGTCAGAGGTTTAGGCCGTGTTAAATATAGAAAGAGCTGGAAAGCTGAAAGTACTGCGTTAATCCCGACACTGAAGCTAAAGCTAGCGATGCTAACGAAGCTCGCTTTAGTGCACTACGTGACAGACGCGTTGAAATAATCCAAATTCACCGGCAACGACAGCTTGTCTACACTTTACAGGGGTAACGATATAGGTGAGATCAGATATAAAATGATCACATGCACGGCCGAGGTGAGATGAAACGGTCTGCAAGGTGTCGCGAAGAGATTTACCTTTCCTCTCCATGGTGGCTGGATTCGTAGCCTAGCAGCTAGCTACTCCACCAGTGAGCAAACGTTCTGCGCATGCGCTCTGGGTCGGTTTGCCCTAAGCAGCGCTTCCCCTGTGACGTCCGTACCTGAGCTTTAAAACCGTTTTGTTTTCTTGAAGTAGCAGAAGAAACTAAAAGGCTTTAATGCTCAGGCCCCAGAAGAAAGTGTGTATATATACAATAGTATATAGAAAGAATATATATATGTATATATGTATGTATATATGTATGTGTATATATATATATATATACATGCATAGATAGATAGATAGATAGATAGATAGATAGATAGATAGATAGATAGATAGATAGATAGATAGATAGATAGATAGATAGATAGAT